GGTTTATTGCGATGCTTCTTTGTCAGGATTGGGTGGTGTATTGATGCAAGATGGGAAGGTCGTGGCGTATGCTTCTAGGCAGTTGAGAGTGCATGAAAAGAATTACCCTACTCATGATTTGGAGTTAGCGGCCGTGGTGTTCGTTTTGAAAATTTGGAGGCACTATCTTTATGGTGCAAGATTTGAAGTTTTTAGCGATCACAAGAGTTTGAAGTATTTGTTTGATCAAAAGGAATTGAATATGAGGCAAAGGAGATGGCTAGAACTTTTGAAGGACTATGATTTTGGTTTAAATTATCATCCGGGTAAGGCGAATGTGGTAGCCGATGCTTTAAGTCGGAAGTCGTTGCACGTGTCTACTTTGATGGTTAGAGAGTGGGAACTCTTGGAGAACTTTAGAGATTTGAGTTTGGTTTGTGAGTTAACGCCGAGTAGTGTGAAGCTTGGTATGTTGCATGTCACGAATGATTTCCTTACTACAGTGTGTGAAAAGCAAAAGTTGGATTTGAAATTTGTGGATTTGATGACGAATGGAAATGAAGATTTCAACGTTGATGAATTAGGAGTTTTGAGGTTTCGAGGTCGTATTTGTATTCCCGATGACGCGGATTTGAAAAAGATGATATTGGAAGAGGGACATCGGAGTAACTTAAGTATTCATCCGGGAGCGAATAAGATGTATCAGGATTTGAAGAAGATCTTTTGGTGGTCTGGATTGAAAAGCGATGTTGCTCGTTTTGTGTACTCGTGTTTGACTTGTCAGAAGTCTAAGGTGGAGCATCAGAAGCCTAGTGGATTGATGCAACCGTTGGATATTCCGGAATGGAAATGGGATAGTATATCGATGGATTTTGTTACGGGATTGCCGAATACACAAAGAGGACATAATGCTATTTGGGTGATTGTTGATAGGCTTACTAAATCGGCTCATTTTATTCCGATTGATATTACTTATTCTTTGGAAAGGTTGGCCGAGATTTATGTTGGCACTATTGTGAAGCTTCATGGAGTTCCTAAGAGTATTGTGTCGGATAGAGATCCTAGATTTACTTCAAGATTTTGGGAGAGTTTGCAAGGTGCCTTGGGTTCTAAGTTGAGATTGAGTTCAGCATATCATCCGCAAACGGATGGTCAAACCGAGAGGACGATTCAATCGTTAGAAGATTTGTTGCGTGCTTGTGTGCTTGAACAAGGTGGTGCATGGGACAGTTATTTAGCGTTGATTGAATTCACCTATAATAACAGTTTCCATTCGAGTATTGGTATGGCGCCATTTGAGGCTTTATATGGACGGAGATGTCGAACACCTCTGTGTTGGCATGAGACGGGTGAAAGGTCGGTAGTTGGTCCTGAAATGGTACAGCAAACGACGGAAAAGGTGAAATTTATTCGGGAAAAGATGAGAGCTTCTCAGAATAGACAGAAAAGTTATCATGATAAAAGGAGAAAGGATCTCGAGTTTCAAGAGGGAGACCATGTGTTTTTGAGAGTTACACCGGTTGCGGGTGTGGGTCGTGCTTTGAAGTCGAGAAAGTTGACTTCTCGTTTTATTGGTCCGTATCAGATTGTCGCACGAGTTGGTGCTGTGGCTTATCATGTGGCGTTGCCTCCGAACCTTTCGAATTTGCATGATGTATTCCATGTCTCGCAACTTCGGAAGTATGTTCCGGATCCGTCACATGTGATCCTAATGGATGAAGTTGAAGTAAGAGATAACCTTACAGTTGAAGTTTTACCGGTTAGTATTTTGGACCGTGAAGTTAAGAAACTAAGAGGCAAGGATATTGCGCTTGTGAAAGTGTCCTGGGGAGGTGCCGCGGAAGGCAACATGACTTGGGAATTGGAAAGCAAGATGCGAGAATCGCATCCAGAGTTGTTTGAATCAGGTGATATTTTCGAGGACGAAAATTTCTAAAGTGGGGGAGAGTTGTAACGCCCCGATTCTGAATTCCCATTAATTGTTGAGTCTTTTAATTTATTTAATTGATGTTTGTTTAAATTGAGAAATTATATATTGTTATTATGTGGTGTTTGCTTATTTTATCTATTTTACCGATTCGGAGAGTTTTCGGGGAATTAGAGTAAAAAGGGCATTTTAGACATTTAGCACTTTAGTGTGAGAATTGATTGATAAGTGTTGGAAAGAATTTGAGAGGAAAGAAATAGAGATAGAAATAGAATAAGAGAGTAAAAAGGAAGAAGATAGTAACATAAGAAGAAAAACAAGAGAAAGAAAAGAGGAGAAGAGAAAGAGAAGAGAAAGTGGAGAGGAAAACCTAGAATCATCAAGGAATCATCACCAAAGCTTGCAATCGACCGGTAAGGGTGTGAAACTCCATCATCTCTTTAATGTGTATGATTGTATGTGTATGTGTGTGGATTTTGTAGAGTTTCTACTCTTTTTCCACTTAGGTTAGAAGTTGGTTTTGTGAGTAGAATGAGGTTTTAATCGGTTAGAACTCGAATTAGACGATGTAGTTTAGTCGGGTGATGGTTGGGTTGTGCTACTGTGACTGGTTTGGATTTAATCGGTTGGTTGTGTGGAGTTTGGGCTTTGAGACAGCCATGGAAGTTCTGTCTTCGCAAGTTCGCCAGGCGAATGGCAGCGAAGCTTCGCCAGGCGAAGCCCAGCGAGCTGTAGCGAAGCAAGTCAGAAGCTAATACCCTGTATTCGCTGGCAAGTTCGCCAGGCGAGGTGAGTTGGCGAAGGTTCGCCAGGCGAGTGGGTAGCGAGCCTCAGCGAGTAATTCCAGAATTACTCCCAGTGGACTTCGCTGGGGAGTTCGCCAGGCGAAGGCCAGCGAGCATTCGCTGCGTGGCTTCGCCAGGCAAAGGTTGGCGAACCTGGCAGTGTTATTTGTTTTACTGTTTGTTCATGACATGATGTTTGATTGATTCAATTATGATTAATGCCTATATGAATGATTGATGTGTGAACTGTTTCAACATGTTGTGTTGTGGGTGGCCGAAAGGCGTGAATCCTAGATTGTGGAGCCGATTGTGAATCTTAATCGTTTGATAATGTTGTGCGTTTGCTCGACTTAGATAGAAATGCATTGATGGATTATTAGGTATGTAAACCTTGTGTGAAATGGTGTATAATGTGAATGCATGATAGATATATGCTACGTATGTGATAAATGCAATGAATATGTTTGTGAGCATAGTATGCATTTTTGTGTCGATTGATCCCTCGGAGGATTTGCAGAACCTCGTATGATACGATGGTTATATTTGATTCCTTGGAGAATCGGTTGCATTGTGTGATTCCTCAGAGAATCGGTCATAACATGTAATTTCGTGGAGGATTGGTTAGAGTATTTGATTCCGTGGAGAATCTGCTGAGTACTTGATCCCGTGGAGGATCTGCTGAATATTCGATTCCGTGGAGAATCTGATGAATATTTGATTCCGTGGAGAATCTGCTGAGTACTTGATCCCGTGGAGGATCTGCTGAATACTCGATTCCTTAGGGAATTTGTTGAATGAGTCGGTACCGCATTTGCATCTGCATAGAGTCGTGTGTCGGTCTCTATGAGTTGCATGAGTCATCTGTGTATGATGCATTGGTTGTGCGAATATAACTGTGTATGTTATATATGATTGTTTGGAGGAAAATATAGTGAATGTTCATGTATATATGTAGAGACATGATTATTTGTATATGCTTAATGTGGTGAGAACATAATTTGAGTATAACTTGTACAAATGTGAGTATATGTATATATACAATTTTATGCATTAACTGTTATGATGTTGTTTCTCACCCTTCTGCTGTTTTATAATGCTCTATGAGGCATTGCAGAGTAGGAAGCTGGAGGTTCTTTTGTGAAGCGATGTCTTCATTCTTTTTGGTCAATGGCTCTGATATGTAACATCTGGGTAGTTAGGAAGTCTTTGACTCTTTTGGAGTTGCATTTGTTTTGATTCTTTTGTGATACATATGTGTATGTATCTGCTGTGGATATGTTGTAAAGCATGAATTAACTAATGGTTGTATATACTTTTATGAATGAGATCGATTCAATATTTGGATGTTTCCGCTTTATTCTAAATATTGAGATGTGGGTTACCCATTGTTGCATATCTATTTTGAGCAGGTATCGTATGTGTGTTTAATTTCATGATAATGTGATGCGCCTCTTTTATACCATGTTTTAATTAAACTCTGATGAAATAAATTTTCTATGTGCCTAATTGATTTATCTAATTTATTTGGGGGTATAAAAAGGGGGTGTTACATACATGATGGAGGACATCTGGCAGCGTGAATCATCTCGCTACGGAGATTGCTTTTCTGACAAAATTTTATCTGATCAGAATATGTCCCCCTCTCATGAACCAATTTGCAAAGACTAAATGGACAAGTGTCCTTCAAAAATGAACAAGTGTCCTTCAAAGATCACAAGCATGCTTATGAATAGTAAACTTTTGTCTTTTTATGCAATAAGACTACAATAATGTAATCCATTAGAGATAAGTATGTCAAACTTTTAAAAAAGGCATTTATATAATGTTATAAATGTCATGCTTGTAAATAGTGTTGTTTTTGTCTTATATGTACCTCCTTGGCTATAAAAGGAGGGATCTTGTAACATATTTTCATCAAGCAATCACAAATAAACTCTCTTGTGTGCTTAAGAACAAACATGTTCTAAAAATCTCTTCTTTCTCCCTCAAAGCTCTAGTTGTTGTATTCATATCATAATTCCCCCATAGATGCAAGTAAGCTCTACACCTGCCTCTAAATGAGGATCTTGTGTATCAGAAAACATCTGACCATTGATCTATACTAAGGTCCTTGCTGTTATGAATTTCAGTTTTAATTGTTAGTCCGTGTTATGCCTATGGTTGGCTATTTAAGGACGATACAGTTAAGGCATGGTTTCATGGCATATAAGGCTCCCAGACAATATGGTATCAGAACCTGAATAAAACAGAAGGGGTGCATATGGTATGAATATAATAAAGAGAGTGAGTAAGGGAGAAATCACTTAAACATGGAAACACCAGAACCAAACACTCAACCTATTAATACTACTTCTTCTTTATCACTTCCTAAACTCTGTAAAAAGACTAATTCTCATAAAATAGAAAACCTTATTGAGTACTCTCATGTTCCTGAAGATGCTCAAATTTCTGAAACAATACCTCCTTTATTGAGTTCGTACAACATCTTCAAAAGACAAAGATGTGTTACCAGATCCATCCGAAATCTTATCTCTACCAATCGCCCTCATATGAAAGAGTACGTCCAGTCATCTAGACTAGACCAATGCAGCCTAAGAGCTACAAACCAAGAACAATACGTAGATCTGGAGATTCCCCAATATCTCATAAACCACTGGAAAACTGAAGGATATACAGCCTTACACTTCGGGGTTGTCAAACTCATCCTTTCTCTTCATGGAAGGAAGAACCAACCCGTCTTTTGCAAAATAGCTCTTCTGGACTCCAGCTACCTCCACTATGAAAATGTTGTGATAGAAACTGTTCTAACTACACTTCATGCAGGAAGTGTCGTCCTCACCATCTTCCCTAACTATAATGTGAGTCTTAATGATAACACCTTGTCCACAAGACTGAAAGTACAGATCCAAATCACCGGAACTGACCAAGTGCCTGAAGCTATGTCAGCTACCCTCCATCACCAGATAATATACCGCTTACAAAATCACTCGATAGATCTTCCTATCTCAGGGTGCTCTTATGATTCACTATTGGTTGTCACCAATAGAGAAGAAGACATACCCTCCATAGTCCAGATTCCAAGAAAGATCACAAGGGAATAATTAACTCAGCTAATTCCCCTTGAATGGATAACCAACTATGAGAGACTTCATGTTGACAAAAGACCTATCCAATCTCAAGAAGATACTTTCAGGAGATCTGTTGACAAGACAGTCAAGACGATCTTTAAGAAACCAGACGAAGGGTCGAGTTCAATACCTCCGATCTTCCAGACAATGATGATCCAACCAGTTCTCAAAGAAGATTGGTGTCCCGTCTATGCTGTTACAACAGAGGGAAAACCCATCTACACCGATAAAATAGATGGCCACTTCATTTGGGATGTTGATCCAACAAGATGTGACCCAGATTGTGACTGCTGGATGCACGATGATGATATTGACCGAGATATCATTCTTCCTAAAACAAAGAAAAAAGGAAGGTGTAAACCCTCGCCACCTCCTCAAAGGAGATCTGATCCAGACAATGGGCCATGGGTAGGAATCTATGGAAAAAAGAAATCCCTCTGTATCTACGAGGAAGGACTAAAAATCCTCAGGAGAGAAGGATTGTTACCACCTGATGATCCGAATCTTATTACATGGTCACCAACAGACCATTGTAAACTGTTACATCCCCCACCTGTTGCTCAGCCAATTCCTTGCTTTATGTATTCAACCACAACTTCGGAGTACGACCGACAATTTCCGGCTTTGGAAAGAAAGATGGATCCAGTCACAGGCAGAACATCCAAACCCTTCATTCATCCGAGTAAAGTCCAGCCCGATGGGAAGCTTAAACCTTTAACTCAGGCTGAGGAAGTTCTGAATTGGCAATCTGAAAATATGGTTTCTCAAAATGAAATTCTTCAAAACCTTGACAAAAAGGTAGATAAGATCGCTGAAAAAATAGACGAGACAGATGAAGACCTCAAGGTTTTATCCCAAAAAGTGCAGAAACATTACAGAAGCTTGAAAGCCCAAGTATCCCAGCTAGATCGGGATTTGCTGTAGATGTTAGAAGAAAGAGCTTTTGGTAAAACATTTGACCAAAAGGAAAGATAAATCAAAAGTCTACAAAGCCAAGTAAAAGAAATGGATGATTTCTTAAGAGCCTCTCATGAAAGAAAGCCCAAACCGGTTGAAAACTCTTTCTTAGATCCTCCTACTTTTCCTACATATTTCAAACGACCAGAAAGGCCTTCTCCTTTCTACCCTGCTTGTGTTTCATCACCATCAGATCCAGTTAAATATATACCAACAGCCTACAGACTAAGATCTTCCAGAACTACCACTACCTCAACCTCCAAAGCAAAGGGGAAAGTTGTCTGCCTAAGCGCTTCATCCTCAGACTCTCAAGATATCCCTGAAAACCCCCTTCAAAAATCCAAAAGGAAGAAGAAATTCCTAATAAAAGTTTCCAAGCCATGGCAATCACTACAAATCATGAATCTCCTCAGAAAGATCACTCTGAATCATCAAAACAAAAGGGAGACGAGTCCTTCTCAGATGACGACAACAACTCTGATCCAGAATCATCTTCAGATGAGACACCAAGATCTTTTTCAACTAAATCAGAATCTGAAGACAACTATTTTCCAAGACTCTTCATGACGAATGTAAAAGAGGAAGAATCCTTTTTTGAAGAAGAATCCCCTGAGGAAACTCTTGTTCCTGAAAGGACTAAACCAAACGGGCACGATGAAAGAATGGTATCACAATCTTGGAGCTTTCAAACAAGATGAGTTACATCGTCTAGAAACTACAGCTAGTGTTCTTGGGGTCCTTCACCGAGAATTTATCGGTGATATGGAAATATTTGATAGGAAAAATAAACAAGAATTCTTTGAGATGAAGTGCTGTTCTCTCAAGACAAAAGACCTCGACAGGCACTATCATAGGATGGCACAGAGGTATTATGTCCTTAATGGGTACAAAGACTCAAGTCTCAAGAATACCTATGTATCCTCTCTACCACAAGAACTTCAGCCAGAAATTCATAGAATGTTAGCTACAGCTCAAAAGGATATTAAAACTATGAGTCTCGGCCAGATTCACCAGGTGACCTTAGAGGCACTTAAAAAGCTTTGCAGTTTTCATCATCAATTTTATGAAGTTATAGAACAAAAGTCAAAGTTCACCCAAGCATGTAAGAAACCCTACTTGGAGATTAAGTGTAAAGACAAAAGGTGTGGTTGTTCAACAAAAAAGAAACATAAAAAATACACCAAACCTCATAGAATCTTCAAGGGAAAGAAAAGAAAGAATATGAAGTTCTTTAGAAAAAAACCTTTCAGAGGAAAGGGGAAAAATCAGAGATGTTTTATTTGTGGAAAAAAGGGCATTTCTCAAAAGAATGTCCCAATAACACCCATAAAGCCGCAAAATTGATTAACTCTCTTCAACCTCTAAAAGGAGACTTAGAATCTTTGTATTATGAACAAAGCTCTGCTGATGAAGAAACAGTTTTTGCCCTCCAAGACTCCTCGTCCGATGAAGCATCATTCTCGGAGTCTGAAGATGACAGATATCTTCCGGTTTACTCCATCAAAGAGATAGGCAGTTCTCTTTCTACTACACCATTTCCTTGTGTTGAAGTCCATATTCTCGCAACAAAGTTTTCCCGTCCGAAGAAAGTTATAGCTTATATGGACACTGGGTCCAGATTACCATGATAAATCCCAACATTCTCCGTCCAAAATCATGGGTGACACATGCTGCATACTTTGTAGCAGCAGATGGAAAAGTTTTCAAGACAAATCTAATGACCAAGGAGAAAATAGGAATTAAATTCTTCCCAGACTGGATAGTATGGACCAAGGTCATTGGCAGTAATCTTCCAAACAAAGATATTATGGTAGGAATGGATGTCTATTCAGCAGCAATTAAACTTCAAATTCTCCCCACAGGAATCAAATTCAAAAGAGAATTCAAACCCTATTCTGGGATATTAAAACTATATTCACTTTCTAAGGTTCCTGTTGGCTATGAAGAGATCAAGTCCAACCTTCTCAGACTATGTGCAGATAGCCATGAGAAATTCCACCACCCAAAACCTCTATGGAAGAATAAGGACTTCTTCTTTCAACTTCCCTTCAAGCTCACTGAATATGTTAATCCAACCAAGGGCACTCATCCAGAGATGAGTCCATCAGATTATGCATTAGATAGGGAGGAATGCAACCAACTGCTCAAACAAGGTCTGATAGAACCCACCAAATCAGAATGGGTTTGCCAAGCATTCTATGTGGAAAAGAGATCTGAAAAGTTGAGGGGAAAAAAGAGGCTAGTAATTGATTACAAACCACTAAATCATTTTCTCAAAGATGATAAATTTCCCATTCCAAAAGCCTCGTCCTTAAATGTTTTAATCAAAGATGCCCAAATCTATTCTAAGTTCGACCTTAAATCAGGATTTTGGCAATTGGGTATCGACCCTGAAGATCGCTATAAAACGGCGTTCTGCATTCCTAACGCCCAGTACCAATGGACCGTGTTACCATTTGGGCTTAACGTAGCCCCATCACTCTTTCAAAAAGCCATGACTAGAATTTTTGAGCCCAACCTCAACAGTATCCTCATCTATATCGATGATGTGTTATTGTTCTCAAAAGATGAAAAAACCCATAAACAATTATTGGGCCAATTTCTTCAAATAGCCCAACAACACGGAATGATGCTCTCTGAGAAGAAAAGTCAATTGGGACAAACAAAAATTGATTTCCTAGGGATGCATTTCTCTCAAGGGAAATATCAACCTCAGCCTCGTATTGCCCAAGAACTATTAAACTTTCCTGATGGAAATCTCACAGTTAAGCAAATCTAACAATTTCTTGGTATAATTAATTATATCCGAGATTTCCTGCCGAAACTGGCGAGATACACTAGTCCTCTATTCCAAATGTTAAAGAAAAAACCTCCACCATGGGGAACATAACAAACTGAAGCAGTGAAAGCCTTAAAGAAAATTGCACAAACTTTTCCTGCTCTAAAAATCCCAGGGAACGGAAAAAGAATTCTACAGACCAATGCCAATGATCATTATTGGGGAGCAGTCCTGATAGAAGAAATTGAAGGAAAAAGATACTATTGTGGTCATGCCAGTGACCAATTCAAAGAAGCTGAAAAACACTACCACACCACCTACAAAGAAGCCCTCGTTGTGAAGATGGGGATCCAAAAATTTGACTTCCGCCTAAAAGGCTATCAATTTGAAGTCCAGATGGACAATTCCTCTTTCCCTAAGATCCTTGAATTCAAAAATAAGATGCCTCCCGATCCTCAAACTCTTAGGCTCAAAGATTGGTTTTCCAGATATGATTTCTCAGTAAGACATATCAAGGGAACCCAAAATGTAATCCCATACCTACTATCCAGACCCATGAAACCCATCCAGATCATCACAGCCAAGCGCACTTTCCCTCTATTTCTTATGGTCAAACCACTACCAACCCATGCATCCAAAACAAAGAATCTTCCTCCAGGAATAACGACTTCCTCTTCACTGTCCCAACTCAAGCAGTATGCCAGGAACAATCTTTTCTATTACATGACAAAAATCATAAGGAATAAATTACCAGATCATTGTCCTTATTTCCCAGATACACCTTTTCTCCTGCCAATTTTAATTAACCCAAATGCTAAATTTACAAAAAACCATTTATGGTATATTTGGTGTGCCACTTGTTTGTATTATATGCCTGTTCTTATTCCCACTATGGCCATGTACCAGCATATAATGGATCCCGAAAAGCACAAGTCTTTGATTTGGACCACTCTTGAATGGTATTCTCCATTACAATGATGGAGAGATCAATTAAAACCAGTCATTGACGAGGTCAACGAACGAAGATTATCTTCAGAAGATATTGGTAAACTCAAGTCTGTTTTCTTTCTACACAGGCCCTATGTGATAGATCCTGCAACTAAGTTGCTCAATTGTAAGAGTTATGTTCATCTATGGGAAACCATTGATGAATATCCTCCCAGTCTAAAAATCACAAGGTAATTACTTGAGTATGTTAACTACATCAATCTCTATGATCCAAAGAAACTCGATGATA